AGTATATAGGTTCTATGGAGATGAATTTGGACAGAAGGTCAGACCTGAAGTTACCTTTCACTAAATTGTTGTTAGTTTGCGTGTTGTTGTTGTTGTTAAGTGCCGTTGAGTCATAGACGACTCATAGTGACCCTATGAACGAAAGACCCAAACACTTGTATAACTTTGGTCATTTATCCACATTTAAAGAGTTTCTGGAGGCAAGCCATTTTGGAAGTGGATGCCACAATTGCTTCCAAGCTTGTTTTAATTGGGAAGCTCCACCAAACACTGCCCACCATGGGTAACCATTATCACATTTGGCACATCAGTGTCACAGTGGTCAGCATCACAGCAACCACAAGTTACCTCTGTACAGCAATGCACAGAGCAGTGCTATACCACCTAGAGGAATGTTTGACAGGAAAACAATTTAAATCAGGCCTGAGGATTGTAATTTACTGTGACTCTGTGAACAGCGTATCTATTTGAACTTTGCCGTATCCTGTGCCATCCTCGTCATCTCTCTGACATGTTCAAGCCCATAGTTACAGACACTGTGTCAATCCAAATTACTGAGGGTCTGTCTTTCTTCCTCTGATTGTCCACCTCTCCTGACGTGATGTCTTTTTCCAAGGACTGGCCCATCTTAACAACATGGACTGGCCCGTCTTAACAACATGCCCAAGTATGTGAGACAAAATTTCACCACCCCCATTTCTAAAGAACACCATGGTCGTATGTACATCCTACAAGACAGATTTATGTTCTTTAAGTAATATAATAAAATATGGAGAAATGTTGAAATAAAAGGGAAATAAAAACTGAAACTCCTAGGCTTACATTGAAATCTCCAAGCCCTGTTCTATCTAAACATTTTCCTATATTATTTCAAAATGAGGATCATCTATATCTTTCTTACTCAATCTTGACTCTCAGTAGCTAATTTAGATCAAGTTCATGATATTGTTAAAAGGGGCCAGTCCTTGGAAAAGAACACCATGCTTGAAAAGGTAGAGAGTTAGTGTCAGAGAAGATGATTCTCAACAAGGTAAGATTGACTCAGTTACTGTACCTATGGCATTGAGTATATCAGAGATGGTGAAGATGGCATATGTTAGGCAAGGTTCAAATTTGTTTTTCATAGGGTCCCTATGAATCACAGTCGATTAGATGGCACATAACAAAGTTCAAAGGATCAAAATTTAAAGTGAGAGGAAAAGTCAAGAGAAATTAGACTGACTGTGCTCACTTTTTACTAAAGATTTTTTTATATACTAATGTTTTTCTCCCTCCAAACCACTGGACCAATAGGCAACATCATGATAGATGCAGAAAAGATTGAAACTGTCAAAGTCTTCATCTTACTTGGATCCACAATTAACACACTTGGAATCAGCAATCAGAAAATCAGGAGACATATTGTACTAGAATAGTCTGTGATTAGGGACCTCTCCAAATTAATGAGGAGTAATAATGCCAGTTTGAGTACTAAGGTGCATCTGATTCAGGACATGTTCTTTCGATCACTTGATGTGCCTCTGAGAGCTAGACAATGAATAAGGATGACAGAAGAAGAATTGATGCCTCTGAGTTGTTGAAGAAGAGTGCTGAACATCTCAGGGACAGCCAAAAGAACAAACAATTATATCTTGGAGATGGTACAGCCAGAGGGGTCTTTGGAGGCAAAGATGGTGAGGCTTTGCCTTACATACTTTGGGCACATATCTAGGAGGGCCTATTCCTTGGAGAGAGACTTGATGCTTGGAAAGGTAGAGGGTCTGCATAGGAGAGGAAGACTCTCAACCAGGAGGAATGATACAGTGACTGCCACAGTGGGCTCCAATGTGTCAGGAAGTGTGAGGATGGCACAGTGCAGACAGGGTTCAGATCTGTTATTTACAGGTCACTAATGGTCATACTCAACTTGAAGGCTCCTAACAACAACATCATTACAAAAAACATTGCATCAGACAGCATCAAAAGATGATGGAGGGAATATACAGGGTCATTGTACCAAAAGAACTGACTGACACTGAAACATCTCAGGAAGTACCATATAAACAGGAGCCAGTGGTAATTAAAGAGGAAATAGAAGCTGCATTGAAGGTATTCCAAAAAATAAAGTCCCAGGAATTAAGGGGATACCAATTGAGTTGTTTCAGTTAACAGATGAAGCTCTGGATGCGCTCATCAGTCTATGCCAGAAAATTTGTTGTTGGTGTTGTGTGCTGTAGAGTCAGAACTGACCCACAGCTGACCCTCCAGGTTTTCAGAGGTAGCTAATTACACAGGAGAAGACTGCCCATTCCTCTCCTGTGGAGCTGCTGGTGGATTTGAACCACGTGCTATAGGGATTACTTTTTAAAATTTAGAGGTCAGTCATTCACTCTTGCCATTGAATCCTGACTCAGAGATGACCCTGCAGATCCAGAGGGGATCTGGAAAGACAAGGTAACAATGGGCATGCTTTAATGGTGATTGATTTTGTAACAAAAAATGAACCAAAATAACTGTATGAAACACAATGTGAATGAAGGGCAGTGTGCAACAAAATGTGTAAGAACTCTGTATACAAACAATGTGTGTGTGTGTGTGTGGGGGGGGAAATAGAGTCTGTAACTGTGTGGAGAAGATTGTTCACCTTTCTCCCATAGAGTTCACAGTGGTTTCAAACCAGCACAGAGGCACCGCCTTTGCACAACTCCCTTCCAACTATATCACCCAAGTAAAAAAAAAAATACTTATTTACACACACACACACACACACTCTCACTCTCTCTCTCAACAACTACCTAGGAGGGATTACAGAGGAACTGTGTTCTCCAAGGAGAATATGAAGGAAGATGGAATTTGTACAGAGAGGAAGTGGGAAAAATAACACCTCTGCCATTTTAAAAAAAAAATATCTTCAAGTGGTCCGTATTACTCAGACTTAAAGAGGGAGAGTTTCCTGCAGATTATTATGTGCTTTGTTCATGCCCTAAATGCATTATGAGCAAAAGTGCACCTTTGTCATACTGAGGGGAAGAAAAACAGTTGTCAGAGTTTGACACATTTTCCAATGGAAAAATAAGCCAGTTACCAACTACATCTGGGCTCATTTTGGGTTCTTGGAACCGATAGCACATCAGCATGTCTTATGAGACTTACGCATGGCATGCTATTACAGTTGTATATCATCAGAGAGAAAAAAATAATTGGTTTTCCGCGGAGTATCTCTAAGCTGATGTCATATTCAATAACCCTGTAGTTGAAAAATCTATATATGATGGATGAAGTTTAGACTATCTTTTGAATTTAATTCCTTCTGTGCCAGCTTCTAAAGGTCCTGGTCTACCTGTCATTTTGAGAGGAGCACATGCACGGTATAGAAAACACAACCAGGTGTTCTTCGCGCCAGATAACTGAGAGGAAACAATCTGTCCAGCAGTCATGATGGCCTCATTCCTCACTCTCACCCAGTGCCAAGGAGGAGCTGCTCTAAACCTGGACCCCACAGGGGGACAGTGCCAGGGGCAGCTGGATTGATGCTATACATCCCAGAATAAATAGGAAGCTCTCCCTTCCTCTAGGAAGAAATCCTAGCCTCTGAGGTAGGTCCTCGGGCCCCACATCACATATCCCCCCAATTCCTTGTGAGAATAGTACGGTACTGCTTCTGGAATCAATGATGATGACTACAAAGAGAACATTTAGAGATTTGTCTCTAATCCTGAAGAAGAAAAAGTCAACTCAGATGTATCTGGGGGGTTGTTGTTATGTGCCATCGAGTTACTTTTGAGTCATAGTGACCCTATATACAATAGCCCTGAAACCTGCTCTCTCCTGTGCCACCTTTACTGTCTTTGACACACTTGTCCTCATTACTGCAGTCACTGAGTCAATCCATCTCATTGATGGTCCTCCTCTCTTTTCCTGTCCTTCCACCCTTCCAAGCATGATGTACGTCTTCAAGGACTTGTCCCTCCTTTGCAACACGCCCAGAGTATGCCACACAAAGCCTCAGAAGAGCACTAAACGTTTTTAAGGAAATAGCAACTGCCTTACTTCTCTTCCTCTTCTTAGCAGCCAGTACATTTTCTTGGTCTTAGGTAATATGGACCCAAACCAAACTTGAGCAGAGAAGTGTGGATCAGACGGTCCTATATGATACCAGCTCTAGTACTCTAGATGCCCCCATGGCACCAGCATTAAGATCTGACCTTGTAGTTGGAACACCAACTACAATTTGAGTCCCTGGGAGATGTAAATTGTTAAGCACTCAACTGCTAGCCTGAAAGGCTGGGATTTTTTTTTAAGCCTGAAAGGTTTGATCTTCAAATCTATCCAAACTTTAGAAAAACTCAACATTAAAAATTCTACGGAGCACAGTTCTTATCTGAAACACATATGGTCATCAGGAGTCAGAGGCAATCTGGCCACTGATCTACTGGTTAAAGGGACTGGAGATTAATCTGTGGTTCAATATCACTTTGGGAATTAGGAATTTATCATGGTTTGAGACTTCAGAACTGGACACAAACTAGCCTCAAATTGAAAGTGATATTCGGAGATTTAAAAATTTAGATTTGCATTGTGTGTGGGAGGATGCCTTGGTGGTGCAGTAGCTAAAGGCTCAACTATTACCCAAAAAGTGAGCCGTTTGAATCCATCAACTGCTCTGGGGGCAGAAAGATGCCATAATCTGCTTCTGTAAAGATTGCAGTATTGGAAAGCTGGGAGGCAGTTCTACTTTGTTCTATCCAGTCATTTGAATCAGAACTGATTTGACAGCAGAGTGTTTAATGTGTGAGATACAAATTAATCTATATTTTAACCAATAAATATACAGTTAAATAAAACCAACACTTGAGTGCTTTCTATTAATATGGAACACATGAGATAATCTTGCAAAGTCAATCTTATCTCTGAGAGGGTACAACTTGTTAAACTGTTAAAAGTTAGAGGTGAACTACTTACATATTATCCAAGTAAAACAACTAAGAATCAAGAGACCAGATTAGGAAAACAGAACATACCTATTAGCAGAGCTTCTTTCTCTGATTTTAATCCTTGACTTCTTTTCTCAGTATTATTCTCTCGATCTTGGTTAACCAGTGCAACTGTCAACACATTGATTTCCTATAAAGTAAAAAAACAGAAAACAGACGTGTATGTAGACGGTGTATTTAAAAAAAGCTCTCATGTTTCTTAAACTCTCTATATGAAAGATATTGTCACTTCTATTTATAATAGTGTATCGTCTCTTTTAAATAAATGATCTATTTTACCAACAGAAAAAAATATAATTCTAGAGTCTAGGCTTTGGGACACTGCTCGCAGTAAACGAAGCCATTCTCTATACAAGTGGGAAACTTGCCACATATTATCCTAGATTTTGTCTATGTTTTGATTAAACTCTGCTAAGAAAAACCATACTTGATTTTAGCTGGCACGACTTTAACATGTTTTATTTCAAATATCAACGGAGATTATTCTGGAAGAGTGTACAGCAGAATGATGATGGTATAGTCATTTGTGTGCATATGTTGGGAGCAGGCGAAGTAGACTGTGTGTCAGGAGTATTTATGTTGAGTAGGTTTTGCTTGGCTCTACAATCAACACTATTGGTACCAGCATCCAGGAAATTAAAAGACGAATTGCATTGGGAAAGTCTGCTGTCAGAGACCTCTCTAAGGTATTGAGAAGCAACGATGTCTGTCTAGAGACTAAGGTGTGCCTGATACAGACCATGATCTTTGCAATTACTTGCTATGAATCAGAAAGCTGGACAATGACTAGGGATGACACAAGGAGAGTTGATGCCTTTGAACTTTGGTGCTGGACATGTTGCAAGGTGGGATCAGTTCAGTCCTCAGAGAGAGACGTCATGCTTGGGAAGGTGGAGGGACAGTGCAGGAAAGGAAGACCCTTGATGAGATGGATTGATTCAATGACTGGGGTAATGGGGGTAGGTGTGTCGGAGACAGTAAAATTGGCAAGGGATAGAGCAGGGATTAGAGCTGTTGTGCATAGGGTCGCTATGACTCACAAGTGACTCGACTGCACATAACAACAGGTTTGGATCTTATACAGAACTGTGAGACGAAGACAAAACCAAATTTGGGAACGTTTTGTTATTTTTTTTTCTTTTAGAAACCAAAAATGAAGGGCTGTTTAACAAGTCACTGACACATAAAACGTGGAAGCTAGACTATTTTTTAGATACTTACATGGTCTTTCAAAAATTTAAAAACAGAGACAAAGACTTGCTCTTATCTTCTCAGAATTCACAGGGCTCAAATTTGATAATAGTATAAAGTCAAATGTAATGATTAGAAGCCTGCATATAGGAAATCTGTCATTGAGGGTTTTGGGGAAGGTGGAACTGAGGATTTGGAAGATAGGTCACTGAGGGTTTCTGAAAGATGAGACTGAGCAAAGGATTAATCTGAGCAAAGGATGAAAGATACTGCTTCCATCAGATGGTGAGAGGTCTTCTTCTGAAAGAATAGAGGACAAGTGGATCAGACTAAGTGGACAAAAAGAATTTAGAAGACAGTTGTTATCAGGGCTGGAAATAGTTAAAGGATAGATATTTAGCCATTTTCTACAAATTAACAACGTTGGCAAATTAACAAAGATACAAGAATATATGGATCACATTGGGCATGTTGTTATTGTTATAAGCTGTCAAGCTGCCAGTGACTTATACCGACGTAATGTATAACAGCCCTAAACCCTGCTCTATCCTGTGCTAATCTTATTGTCTCTGACACTCCACCCCCATTATCTCAGTCACTGAATCAATCCATTTCTTCCTCTCTTGTGCTGTCCCTCTACACTCCCAAGCATGACATCCCTCTCCAGGGTTCCTCCTTGCAACATGTCCAAAGTATGTCAGATGAAGCTTCAAAATCCTTGCCTCAAAGGACCAGCCAGGTCTCACCCTCTCCAGGACAAACCTGTTTGTTCTCCTAGCAGTCCATGGTATATTCAATACTCTTCACCAGCTCCACGGCTCAAAGGCATTAATTCTCCTTCTATCAGCCCTAGTCACTGTCCTGCTCTCTGATGCATAGCAAGTAATTGCAGAGACCATGGCCTGTATCAGGCGTTACCTTAGTCTCCAGGCTGACATTATTGCAGCATAAAACCTATCTAAGAATTTGCAAATAAAAACACCTCAGTGTACGCCAATCAAAGAGATGTGGGCTGAACTTGATAGAAGGGCTGTTAGTTAGCTCAAGTTGGTTCCAACTCATGCTAACTCCATGTACAACAGATAAAAATACTGCCTGGTCCTGTACCACCTTCACAATCATTGCTATGCTCCAGCCAATGACTTATGAGAGTGCTGTTTTTTAAGTAGGTGAGGAATCTCTAGGAAAGATATTTATTCTGGGGAACAGTGGTTGAAATAGTTGGTGAGCATGTTGGAAGGGCCAGCATTACTAGCTGAAGACTGAGTCATGTAGACTGAGAAGACAATGAAGATAACAAGATACTGAATAGAGGGAGTCTTAGTGCTGTGATGGGAACTCTGAAGGAAGTCTTCACTAACTGAAGGGTATCAAATAGGGTCTGAGGTTTGTGATTACAAACAGCAGACAGAAGGAGAGTTAAGAGAGCCATGTGAACATACAAGATTATAAAGTCTGAAAGGTGTTCTTATATTCCAGGGAAGAGAGCTTAGGAACTGACCGATTGGGGACGGGAGGGGAAAGCTGGACTCTAAAATGAAAAACTCAAAAGTCTATGTACACAGGTTTAAAACTTTTCTAAAGGAGAATTATCTAAGAAATCTTTCTGTGATTAAATAGCATTTGGTGTTTTCTGATCAGGCTGATTTAATTAAAGGAAAGAAAGATAGTATGTATGCACCCTTCATCTCTCTGTCGGATGAGAAGTCTACTTGGTTGGTAATGATGTGCTCTTAGAACAAGACAGTGGAGCTCCATGCCTGGCAGGGTAAGACAGCAAATTACATGCTGGGGCTTCTTAGTGCTCTCCTCACAAACACAAGAAGTTCAGGAAGAAACATGATGAAGGAATACAAATAGGATGGTGACTCCACCACTTATCAAAATTATGAGCAATGAATCCAAGGGCTGAGTAGAAAGTGTCTACAAGATGGGGAGCTCTGTTCACTGCTTGGATGATAACTGAGGCTAAATGAAATTACTCACAAGAGTTTAACAAACGGCAGGACCAAATTAATTACCAAGACTGAGTGGTATCCTGTGACCACTGTATAGTTGAGGATAGCAGGTTTAGTAATGGAAATGGACCATAGAAGGCAAGTAGCACATTAGAAGCCAACAGGGACTGGCCATGAAAAATATAATGAGACTACCCAAGAGTGTTTGAAATTTGTCCTCTTGTCCATGGCTGGAGTCATGATGACAGGGGAACCAATACAGGGACCCCATGTTGTTGTTATGTGCCGTTGAGTCACTTGCGACTCATAGCGACCATATGTACAACAGGCCTAAACCCTGCTCTAT